ATTCCAATACATTAAATATTGACGACTTCACACACACACACACACACACATACACACACACGCACACACACACACACACAATGCTCAGACACACACACATGCGCACTTAGGCGCATATAGACTAAGACAATCATAGAAACACAAAGATAGACACACACACACACACACACACACAAGCAGTCTAAACTCTCAGCGACATAGGACAGATATACATGTAATTTTTACCTGTTTCTCTCCACGCCCTCCCCACCTGTACTCGGCAAGTGAAAAAAAATAAATGAACTCCTAGATCTAGTCTCATGAATAAACAAATAGAAGACGATAATATAAATGTCAGTCTTCTAACTTCAGTTAAATAATTAAATTTTAATATTGTGTCTGGTTAAAGTGAACCTTTCATCCATCTGCCACTGTAGTTTGGAAAATAAAAGGCTGACAGACAGACGGACGGACAGAAGGACAGACGGAAAGACGGACAGACGGACAGACGGACAGACGGACAGAAGGACAGACGGACAGACAGACAGACACACACAGAGACACAGAGACACAGAGACACAGAGACACCCAGACACACAGTCACACAGACACACAGACACACAGACACACAGACACACAGACACACAAACACACAGACACACAGACACACAGACGCACAGACACACAGACACACAGACACACAGACACACAGACACACAGATACACAGACAGACGCACGTGATCTGACACAGGGATATGACACAAAAATTAAATGACGAGAAACGTGTATCGAATTGGTTGGATATTTTATAATAGCAAAAATAAAAAAAACCTAGTGAGGGTTGTGAGTGGAAGTGAGGGTAAGAATACTTCTGGTGTGTGAGGTGAGTGGAAGTGTGGGAGAGAATAGTGCTGGGATGTGGGGTGAGTGGAAGTGTGCGGGTAATAGTGCTGGAGTGTGAGGTGCGTGGAAGTGTGGGGGAGACAGTGTTGGAGTGTGAGGTGAGTGGAAGTGTGGGAGAGAATCGTGTTGGAGTGTGAGGTGAGTGGAAGTGTGGGGGAGAATAGTGTTGGAGTGTGAGGTGAGTGGAAGTGTGCGGGTAATAGTGCTGGAGTGTGAGGTGCGTGGAAGTGTGGGGGAGAATAGTGTTGGAGTGTGAGGTGAGTGGAAGTGTGGGAGAGAATCGTGTTGGAGTGTGAGGTGAGTGGAAGTGTGGGGGAGAATAGTGCTGGAGTGTGAGGTGAGTGGAAGTGTGGGGGAGAATAGTGTTGGAGTGTGAGGTGAGTGGAAGTGTGGGAGAGAATCGTGTTGGAGTGTGAGGTGAGTGGAAGTGTGGGGGAGAATAGTACTGGAGTGTGAGGTGTGTGGAAGTGTGGGGGAGAATAGTGCTGGAGTGTGAGGTGAGTGGAAGTGTGGGGGAGAATAGTGCTGGAGTGTGAGGTGAGTGGAAGTGTGGGGGAGAATAGTGCTGGAGTGTGAGGTGAGTTAAAGGTGTGGAGTGCTAGCAGAGTATACGAGAGTTAGGGGGGAAGGGGGGGGGGGGTGACCAGAGGATTAAAATGTTACATAACGTCATCGAGTACATATCAATAGTAACAGTCTTGTAGTTTCAATTTAAAATTTACAAAACATAAAACTACCAAAGTGTTAGTATATCATACATAAAATCGTAGGTGGAGGAGTGACACCCTAGTGACGACATTGGTTTGGAAATATTGAAGGGGGCACACCACATTTATCCACTGTTTGTAAATTTTGAATGTATATATTAAGCGCCCACAAAAATACTTACCAAGGGACACCATCCATGCATTATCCGCCCCTGCGCTAGAGGAACTACCACACCCTGGCTAGTGACGTCACTGCACAAAACAAACAAAGCTGCCAGTTATTGTTTATCACCCGTGTTGATATCTTATAATTCAGACGCCTGTCTGTCATAAGTTTTAATGTGAAGAGGAATCCCACGGTCACCCCTTGTCGTAACCCCTCTCGTATTTGTGCGAAACATTCATTTTGACGAGGGGTCGCTACTCATGTCGTGACAGTATAAAACAATCAACTAGAAGCGAGAGTCACGTCCCTTGCTGTATGACAATAAATGACAATCTCGTAGCTCGGGTGTGTGCCTGCTTATGTGACATTTAAAACGCGGGGATAGGTACATGTCACCGTGACATGCCAAGGCTAGTCGTAATTAACAGGTGAAATAAATAAATAAATCGTTGCATAAACAAACCAAGCCCACTGAGTATTTTTAATCCTGGACAACTACTAAGAGCTGAAATGAAGTTATTTTTAGAAAACGTATTAAAACTATCTAGTCTCATTTTTTTTTAAACGTAGTCTTGCGTCAAAATGTATATAAGTTTGAACCCCATTATTCTACGAAATGTGTAGAAGTTCAATAATTGGAGTGCCTGAAAATGTCCGGTTAAGTAAGACAGAAGTCGTATTTCCTAGTATGTCTAAGCATTCTATAGATCAGGGGTCTCCAAACTACGGCCCGCGGGCCGTATGCGGCCAGCGAAGTCCTCTCATCCGGCCCGCGGAGATCTTTTTGGCCAAGAAAAACGTTTGTTGGTGATGGCTGAAGAACTTTGCGCAGAAAAAATCAAAGACATGCCTGGAAGAAACTGCTCCCCCCCCCCCTCCCAATTGAAATTCGATAGTTAATGCGGCCCTCGGACTGAAAAGTTTGGAGACCCCTGCTATAGATTGTTAGAATTCCTAACAGACAACCCGGCTAAATGTTGAATAATATCCTATATGAATTTTCTCTGTATGAGACCGGTATTTATGTTTTTTTTTTAAAAAGATTGAGTAAGACAAGATATTGAATAACCCGTCACGTTTTGTAGACAAGCAAGCAGTATTTATAGGGAAGTAAACGTTAGCAAATCTAAGGCGACAATGATTGAAGTGTAAGGAGAACAATGATGCTCTTACACACATCGCAGAAACTTTAGATGAAAGCTAACCACAGCCATGGCCTCATAGCCACAGTCAAAGCCTTAGCCATAGCCAAAGCCATAGCCATAGCCACCGCCATAGCCATTGCCACAGCCAGAGTTTCTTCCAGGCATCTCTTCGGGGGGGGGGGGGGGGGGGTTGGATCCCAACGAGATGGAATTTATGTAGAAACATATACTTTTACCAGTGTCGTCGTCGTCGGCGTCCCCCCCCCCGTCCCCGTCCCCGTCCCCCCCCCCCCGTCCCCGTCCCCGTCCCCCCCCCCCCCGGTGAAAAAAGTCTGGAAGAAGCACTGGCAACAGTTACATATCCACAGCTAATAAATATTTTACACGGTGCGTTAAATAAACTATTTGGTTTAGTCAGGGGCGTAGCGAGGGGGGGGGCGGGGGCGGGGGGAGGACCGCACCGGGTGACACCATTTAGGGGGTGACACCAAGGCAAAAAAATAGCAAAATATATAGAGAAAAACTTGGGGGGGGTGCAAATCGAAAGTTTGAGGGGGGGTGCAAATCGAAAATTTGAAAGTTCGTCCCCGGGAAGGGTCGCTACGCCTCTGGGGTGCCTCTTAAGTGCCGCACCGGGTGACACCCGACCTCGCTACGCCACTAGGTTCAGTTATCATTGAAAGCAGATTTGATTATTTACAATTCTTGTTTCTTTACCCTCTAGTACTCTAGAGATGGGCGCGTCATTTTTTTCCTTCTATCTATTAAAGCTGCTGTTTATTACATCACCGCATATTTTAATAGAAATTTTGTGAACTTTGTACTTCACAACTGCTCTAAAATTTCTCGACTGGGCCGAAAATACGATGATTCCTGCTTCGGCGTAACAAGGGTAGAGATGGTGGGGTGGCCGCCCCACACACTTAACCTAACCTACGGGGAGCGCCAAACGGGTATTTAAAAAAAAAAAAAGAACAAAAGCTCATTCTTTGCTTCATTGCTGAAGTCTACTCGACGTTTTGCTTTGCCTTCCTGACTGATTTAACTGTTTTCCACATCAGCTTTGTGACATCATAATTTTAAAAAACCAACCTTTCCTAATAGGAAAAAGGCGAATATTCGCAAAGTTGAACATTTTTTAATGTTTTAAAAAACTAAAGGGAAAGGACGTGAAATTGATAGTTCGCCCCGGGCGTCGGAATAGGTCACCGCGGCTTTGGATTAAGACGGTTTTGTTTTTCTTGACTCAACTTTAACCCCAAAACTAGTGCATATATAAAGGTAAGCAACTCGATGTAATCCGCAGTACAAACAAGAGTTATCGTGACTATCCTGTGTGTATAGATATTTATTTTATTAATTTTAAATGAAAAATGTTGGTATTTCTTCCGATCGATATACTTATTCCCACATTAGATTCACCTAAACGATATTCTTATCTTTAAAAAAAAAAACCACCACTCTTAAGCAATTGTTCAACACAATAATTTTGAGTAACCCCTGTCATACTGAACCTCATGACCAATTTTTAAATAAAACAATAGACCTAATCTCCAGAATAACTTTTTTAATTTTTCCAGTTTCGTTAAGTGAAGACTTATAAAAGTTTTATTGTTAATTTTAATTGGCGCACTTACATAGTTATGTTAAGTATTAATTTACTTAAAATAATAAAACAAAAATTAAATAATAACTTTGACTAATACTAATTTCTAGTTAGGCAAAATGAGGGTAGGTCTTTAAAAATTGGGATTAGTTCTATTACAAGAAAAGCCTTTCCTACTTCTGTATTTTGCTGCAACACGGACGGCTATTAAACTGGACAGCAATTAAACTGGACGCATTTACTTAGGTCAAAAATGTCTGTGGGTTTGAGGTAAAACCTATGAAAATATTTCTTTCAACTTTGCATGAATATGCATCCTCGTTGACAACATCGAAAAATATATTTTTTAATTTGTTTATTTATTCAATTTGTCACTTGATATGGCTTGAAGATTATTTTATTCAATAATCTTTTGAAAATAAATAGACATCTGGTTTTAACATGTTTTAGTTTAAAACTTCACAAAAACAGAAAAGTAAAACTAAATCCTGCCTTGGTTAAAAACTTTTACTCACAAAAAAAAAAGTGAAAAATAATAATAAGTCAATATCGTAACTGAAAACTGTATAAATTACATTTGCAGAAGAAAGCCAAAATTTAGATTTTTGGAACTGATTATTAATATTTTAAAAACAAAATCACTTTGACTTTGTATACATCACTTTTCTGTGATGGGCTCCGACAATGAAAAAATTTGTAATTTTGTAAGCTAGTGCAGACATTTAAAAGCAGGCCACGGTCATGTCACATGGTAAATAATGTACAAAATATACAAAGGTACTAATTACTTGGGGCATTGAGCAATACTTTGTAATTTCAATACGTAAAACAACTTTTTAATGTGATGTTCTGTAAAGTAAATCTCATATTTGAACCTTAAAGAGATAATTTTTTTAAGCAGCAATGGTTTCTGCAACCACCACATTGTTTCTCTACATTATTTAAAAAAGAGTTAGTAACACATCATAAGATCTCCCTTCGGAAAATATGATGGGCATATTAGGCAGGGTTTATTTGTTTCTTTAAACTAAACATAGGGGGGATTGTGTGGTCAGTATTATGCCCAACCTCCTTCACTGTCTATAAAACATGTCCAGAGCTGGGTGGACTATGGGAGGTCTTACGGACAAGAACAAAACTCATGATTTCAAAGCCAACAGAACTTGCAGTATAAAATTTAAAATCGGTAATATTTTTTTTTAGGTTTATAATTTACATGTGCAGATTGTTATTTACACTTTTCATTTAAAACAAATTAATGTGCTTAGGAAACAAAGGGAAAAAAGTACATATTTCACAGTTATTTACATTATTCAAGGGAGAGCACCAACTGTTTAGTACCTTGTTAAAGAGAAACAACTAGCACTCTGAGACATTAAAAATTTAAAGTGTCCAGTTTTTTTGACAGACAAGGGCAACTAAAATTTCAATGGGAAAAAAAAGAAATTTGGTTAAAAGCAATCCTCAAGAATTCTTTAAACACACACTGTTTGTAAAGTATTGTTTCAATGAGGGGGGAAAGTGTATAAAAACAGAAACACGCAAGAGGATGCATCAGGCATCAAGTGAAACTCACTGAACCAATTCACATCTTTCCAGGAAATATAAAAAAAATATTCAAAAAAACTGCTTCTTTAAATTTATCTTTAAAAATGTGCTTGAATAAAATACCAAAAATAAAGAAAAGAAACAAGCCTACACATTTTTCCAACTAGTGATAATTTTACAACGCGAATATAATATTTTTGCTATAAAAGTAGTTAATATTATCATGTTTAAGTTTAAAGTATTAAAAAAAAGTTGGACATTAATGTACATTTCAATAAAAGTATTTTCCTTATGTATCAATGAACACCATCAATTGCAAACTGTATTTTTTTTAAATGTAACAATGCTTAGACCATTATAGCAAATAAAAAGATTTGGTCTACGGACCAAAAGCCAACAATTCCAAACATGTAATCAGGTCTGATAGAAAAACAGTTACATTGTCAGTCTAATAAAAAGTATAATTTTCATTTTTTTTATTCCACAATTTATATTAGTTTTTAGTACATAAAATTCTTCATTATGGAATACTGAGTTGCTAAATTCTGGTATAAGTGTGATCAAAGCTTAGTTAGATCAACATGTTTCTGTTCTTTCAATGATGTTAGTGCAGCTCACATACATTGGTTTTATTTGGATCAATTAAAGCAGAAGCATCCAAATTAAAGGGGAAAGTTCCCATATGACATGACTAGAGGAAAAAACAAAAGGGGAAAAAACTCTTTGGCAAAGTAAACAAAATCAGGATATTAAGATATCATGCTCTTTAAATACATGATGAACTTCTGCATTTAGTTAAAATAAAAAATATTACCTGTTCTGATAAGATTTTAAGGGCAATTTTGGTTTCTCTGAAGTTTTCAATTTTTATTCACAACATTCATAAATAAATTGTTAGAAATGTGTTCTTATGGTAATGTACAGGTTCCTTGAAGCATTTTTATTCACAATTCACAACTTAATAGTTAGTAATTTATTGTTATAAAATATATGTAAAATAATTATATAACTTGAATAGAGACATACTTCTATAGATAGTAAGTTTTGTAGGATGGTGAGAGTCATGGTAAAAAAGATAGTAAATTAGTTTTTACAAGAAAATTTTAACATTTTGTTTAGATCTACAAAAGGAATTGCAGTAATTTTGTACAAATGTATTGATTAGTAGATAGGCAGTAGGGTTAAGAAACTTTCAAGTACAAAAATATACTTTTTAGAATTACATTTTAAAATACTATATTAAAAAATAATGTAATCTGTAACATTTTTCTTTGTGTAAGTTAAGTTGTAAATGTAGCATGAACAATGAGATTTATTTATTTTCCATAAACAGATGCTAAAACTTCTATTCCTATCTGCAGTCATGATTCTTGATAAAAATAAAAATAACAAAAAGCAAATAATGAATAATATTATGTTTCCTTTCTCAACTTTCTGACTAATAAACTAAAGCTAATCAAATTTCACCACTACAAAATGAGTTTTAGTATGGAAATTCTTCAATTTTAGTACATAAAAAAATAAAAAATGAACATTAATTACAGCTTCATGAACTTCTTGTTATTATTTTACTAGATCAGACAATAATGAATCAAATCAATTAATTACAATTGATTAAATAATATTATTGGTTTTTTTTAAACTAAAAATTGACCCTGCATGTTGTTAAATTTTAGCAAACATCAGGAAAAGCATTTAAAATATACATACATATTTTCTTTAAGTTGCAAACTGTAATTATGTGGTACGAATAAGAATTATTATTTTTAATGTAATTCTCTCCCTTAGCTGTCTTTAAATAAGACAAAACAAATTTCCATTAACTTAACACAATTTGCGATGCTTATGACAACAGTCTTAAAAATCCACTATGTGTAAACTAATCACGGTTTAAAAATAACTGATCACAAAAATCTTTTAGAATTCAGCATGATGACAGCATTGTTATGAGCTGTCACTTTTTAAACAGTGAACTTACCAGTTCAATTAGTTGATTTTTGGTAAGTTACAGTGTCTTTCAGCAATCTTAAAGTGTAGTTATTTCAATTTAGTAAAAAAAAAACATATACAATTTCAAACAAGTTTTGGTTTAGCAAAACAAAAATAAAAAAAGGAAATCGCATAATTAACTTAAAATTTAAGATCTTTTTCAAAATAAACCAGTTGAATATTAAAAAAATATTCTTTTATGATTTAGATTTTTTAATAAGGCTGGCTGAACTTGGCCAAAACAAAATCACAGTTGAAAAAGAAATTACAAAAATTATAAGCATGTTAAAAATATCTCCAATTTGTATGTAAATATATGGTTAAGTAGTATATGAGACAGTATAATTATTTCATTAAGTATTTTACAAATGAAATATTTTTCTGTTTTGTTTGAGGTTCTTCCAAAAAATTGTTTGAGGGGGCTTAATTACAATTTTGATTTCATATCAATCACAGAAATTAATAATCAGAAATGCAAGCCAGAAATTAAAAACACTGTTAAAAAAACTCCTTCTTTTAAGATCACAATGAACATGAATACTGAATTAACAATACATGTAGCTGCTGTGGTTTAGGGAATAAAAAGCAATAAAAACTAATGAACAAAAAAATACACCATGCTTTTTAAGTATTTTAGTGTAGAGTGCAGGAGACTTGGTTAAAAATAATATACATATTATCTTATATGAATGGTTTTACATATTTTCTTTCAATTCAGAAGTTGATTTTAAATAAAACACTTTCAAATAATAAAATGTAAGCTATGAAGAGCTATTCCACATGTCGAGATTCACACATTTTATGATCTATACAAGAAAACAGCTGAGGGGTAAAAAACAACAAGTTGAAGTGTCAGAAAATTTAAAAAAAAACAATAACTTCAGTTTTTCTAACATGTAAACAAAAATCATTTTTATTTAAAGCAACAGAACAAATTAGTCATGCATTACAAAGAAGAAGTAAAAAAAATTCATTGGGAAAAAGAAGTTCCAGAAATCTGGAAGACAGGGTTTGTTATTACAGATTCACCAGATGGGGAGAGAGGAAAATAATTCAAAATGGCACCTGAGACAAACAAATCCTAAATCAACACAAATCATTATCTCCTGAGTAACACAAGCATAAGTATAAAAGATTAACGACCATTTTATTACAAAACAAAAAGATCTATTTCTATCAAGGAAAAGATAAAGCAAGGATTGTACATTGTTGTTTTGTATGGCACAGGTTTGTCTAAAGTAACCTAGAGTATCACCAACGGCAGTTTGAACATATCTGTATGAGAAATTGAACTAACAACAAGTTTAACCAAAGGGCATTTTTAAAAAGTGAGATTTCACATGTTTTTAGTTAAGTACAATTTAACAAAGTTTTTAAGAAAATATGAAGGGCAGCTAAAAAATTAAGCAACAGCATTGCCCCACTGCTGTGGGAGGTACAGGGCTTTAAAAATATGAAACACACTGGGAATGTCATGGAAAGAATCAAATTTTAACAGCCATGGTAAAATTCTTAAAAAAGGGAATGTAGCAAACGAAACAATATGCAATAAGTGGCAAATCGGTAACAAGCTATCACAACCTGTTCACAAATCTGTTAGCAGAAAAAAGTTCTGGGTCTAGTTGGAAGTTTCACAACCGTTTCTTTGAATGCTGTTGCACATGTATAAAAAAATGAAACTATTTATTATAACTAAGAAACAAATCAAGAAATTTAAAAAATAATTATTTCAACCTTGGATATAAATAAATAATTTCATAAGAATGTAAGATATAAGGTCATAAATTAGATACATTGGTGAGACAAACTATTGCAGTGCGTTCAGTTGTTTAAATGTGTACAATGTTTATTTACAAATTTATAACGCTTAACCAATTTGATGTAAGTTAACGTGACAAACTCAAGAGCTGCAGCGGGGGACTTTAACTACATCCATCCTAACCCAAACACAAAACCAACTTGAAAAATGTGGCGTACACAAGACCTTTAGCCACCACATGAACTTCAGCATTCAATTTCTTTGTCCATTCTCACCCAGCGCTGTATGGAATGTATCAAGGATTCAACCCACCTGCAATTGTACAATATTCAAGTTTAGTCTCAAAGCTATAGTCGCGTTAACCCTTTCATGCCTAGGGTGACTTTTTTCATCACAGCAACTTAACTAATTCAGGCATATAGAGTTAACTTTTTCTGTACTTGCTGAACAAAAGCGCATTGTCAGGATAAATTTAACTTTTTTTTTATATGTTTATTAAAATCTTCAAGACCATTTGATGACTGAGAGAAGACAGGTTTTCAGTGGACAAATGAGTTAGATAGGGGAAAACTTTTAACACCAAGCAGGCATGGCTACAAATTGCAGCAACTTTTGGAAGAGTTAAAGTATCAGAGGTAATGCCAGCTTAGGTCAAGTTCTATTTCAATTAAGAAACTCTACTGCAACCAGTGACAGGTTGGTGTGGGTGGGGCTCTGGCTGGGGCCATACTTTAAGGCAACCAATGACAGGTTGGTGTGGGTGGTGGGCTCTGACTGGGGCCATCCTTTAAGGCAACCAGTGACAGGTTGGTGTGGGTGGTGGGGCTCTGACTGGGGCCATCCTTTAAGGCAACCAGTGACAGGCTGGTGTGGGTGGTGGGGCTCTGACTGGGGCCATCCTTTAAGGTAACCAGTGAAAGGTTGGTGTGGGTGGTGGGGCTCTGACTGGGGCCATCCTTTAAGGTAACCAGTGAAAGGTTGGTGTGGGTGGTGGGGCTCTGACTGGGGCCATCCTTTAAGGCAACCAATGACAGGTTGGTGTTGGTGGTGGGGCTCTGACTGGGGCCATCCTTTAAGGCAACCAGTGACAGGCTGGTGTGGGTGGTGGGGCTCTGACTGGGGCCATCCTTTAAGGTAACCAGTGAAAGGTTGGTGTGGGTGGTGGGGCTCTGACTGGGGCCATCCTTTAAGGTAACCAGTGAAAGGTTGGTGTGGGTGGTGGGGCTCTGACTGGGGCCATCCTTTAAGGCAACCAATGACAGGTTGGTGTTGGTGGTGGGGCTCTGACTGGGGCCATCCTTTAAGGCAACCAGTGACAGGTTGGTGTGGGTGGTGGGGCTCTGACTGGGGCCATCCTTTAAGGTAACCAGTGAAAGGTTGGTGTGGGTGGTGGGGCTCTGACTGGGGCCATCCTTTAAGGTAACCAGTGAAAGGTTGGTGTGGGTGGTGGGGCTCTGACTCAAACAAATAGAGGTTGTTTGTTCTTATTAATCTTTTTATAGAATAAAAAAGCTGGAAAAATTGAGGTTGTTTGTTCTTATTAATCTTTTTATAGAATAAAAAAGCTGAAAAAAAATTAGTGCCAGAAAAGTACAAATATATCATGTAATTTATTTCTAAACCCACCTCTTTTTATCTGTTTCATTATCTGCACTGAAACAGAAGACCCTCATTTTCTTCTCAGGGGGAAGTAGACTGAAGCTGAACTTTCTACGTGGAAGACTTTCTGCATCCACCTTGTAACCATGGAGATGGGCTACACCTAAAAAATAATTGTAAAAAACAAACCCAACTTGATAGGAATTTTTTTTAAATTTAAGTTTCTTCATATTGATATAAATTAAATGTTAGTTCTTGTAAAAATGCAGAAGTTATATGACTTTCAGGGGCATCATTAGGGTCCACAGTACAGTAGAGTTACTAGAAAAAAAACAGCTTTAAACACCTCACAAACACTATCACAAACTGAAACAGCTCTCAAGTAATAGGCTTTTGAGAAACCGAAAGTAGAATAAGTGCCGCATCCAATTACCAAAAATCACTGAAAAGTTGACACAGAACTACAAATCTGATACAATACTTTAATATGAAATTTTGTCAACCTTGCTGTAACGGTACTCAAGTTATTGTGTTTACAGACAAACAGATATACAGACAAAATTGCAAAACTAAGTATTTCCGCCTCAGGAGGGTTTAAAATGTCAAGATTTATGAACATTTCTTGAATGATTACAATACTTTCTCAATACTTTGATTACGAGAAAGTAAACAAGGGAGGCATAAAAAAAACACAAGAAATTATTTTTCATAAATTTGTTAGAAAATACTTAATGTATTTACCAAGTGCATTCTGGGAGTTGACATCCTTGTAGTAGTAGACACAAGCGTCTTTCAGCACGCAGTAGCGCCTGCGCCAATGGCTGTGATTGGGGCTCAGCTTGTTCAGGAAACCAGTGCACTCAGACTTCCTGATGTCCAGCGCAGGCAAGCTGACATTGTGGCTGCTGACACTGAGAAAGGATTCCTTCTGGAGAGCGGGAATGTTGGAATGGTGAGGTCATGTTTGAGGTGGTGTGGTCATGTGGTCTGGTATGTGCATGGGACAGTGTGGTCAAGGGGTCAGATGTGTGCATGAGACAGTGTGGTCAATTGGTCAACAATGTATATGAGATAGTGTGGTCAAGTGGTCAGATGTGTGCAAGAGACAGTGTGGTCAAGTGGTCAGATGTGTGCATGAGACAGTGTGGTCAAGTGGTCAGGTGTGTGTATGAGACAGTGTGGTCAAGTGGTCAGATGTGTGCATGAGACAGTGTGGTCAAGTGGTCAGATGTGTGCATGACACAGTGTGGTCACGTGGTCAGATGTGTGCATGAGACAGTGTGGTCAAGTTGTCAGATGTGTGCAACAGACAGTGTGGTCAAGTGGTCAGATGTGGCCATGAGACAGTGTGGTCAAGTGGTCAGATGTGTGCATGAGACAGTGTGGTTAAGTGCTCAGATGTGTGCATGAGACAGTGTGGTCAAGTGGTCAGATGTGTGCATGACACAGTGTGATCAAGTGGTCAGATGTGTGCAAGAGACAGTGTGGTCAAGTGGTCAGATGTGTGCATAACACAGTGTGGTCACGTGGTCAGATGTGTGCATGAGACAGTGTGGTCAAGTGGTCAACAGTGTATATGAGACAGTGTGCTCAAATGGTCAGATGTGTGTATGAGACTGTGGTCAAGTGGTCAACAGTGTATATGAGACAGTGTGGTCAAGTGGTCAGATGTGTGCATGAGACAGTGTGGTCAAGTTGTCAGATGTGTGCATGAGACAGTGTGGTCAAGTGGTCAGATGTGTGCATGAGACAGTGTGGTCAAGTGGTCAGATGTGTGCATGAGACAGTGTGGTCAAGTGGTCAGATGTGTGCATGAGACAGTGTGGTCAAGTGGTCAGATGTGTGCATGAGACAGTGTGGTCAAGTGGTTAGATGTGTGTATGAGACAGTGTGGTCAAGTGGTCAGATGTGTGTATGAGACAGTGTGCTCAAATGGTCAGATGTGTGTATGAGACTGTGGTCAAGTGCTCAGATGTGTGCATGAGACAGTGTGGTCAAGTGGTCAGATGTGTGCATGAGACAGTGTGGTCAAGTTGTCAGATGTGTGCATGAGACAGTGTGGTCAAGTTGTCAGATGTGTGCATGAGACAGTGTGGTCAAGTGGTTAGATGTGTGTATGAGACAGTGTGGTCAAGTGGTCAGATGTGTGCATGAGACAGTGTGGTCAAGTGGTCAACAGTGTATATGAGACAGTGTGCTCAAATGGTCAGATGTGTGCATGAGACAGTGTGGTCAAGTGGTCAACAGTGTATATGAGACAGTGTGCTCAAATGGTCAGATGTGTGTATGAGACTGTGGTCAAGTGGTCAGATGTGTGTATGAGACAGTGTGGTCAAGTTGTCAGATGTGTGCATGAGACAGTGTGGTCAAGTGGTCAGATGTGTGCATGAGACAGTGTGGTCAAGTGGTCAGATGTGTGCATGAGACAGTGTGGTCAAGTGGTCAGATGTGTGCATGAGACAGTGTGGTCAAGTGGTCAGATGTGTGCATGAGACAGTGTGGTCAAGTGGTTAGATGTGTGTATGAGACAGTGTGGTCAAGTGGTCAGATGTGTGTATGAGACAGTGTGCTCAAATGGTCAGATGTGTGTATGAGACTGTGGTCAAGTGCTCAGATGTGTGCATGAGACAGTGTGGTCAAGTGGTCAGATGTGTGCATGAGACAGTGTGGTCAAGTTGTCAGATGTGTGCATGAGACAGTGTGGTCAAGTTGTCAGATGTGTGCATGAGACAGTGTGGTCAAGTGGTTAGATGTGTGTATGAGACAGTGTGGTCAAGTGGTCAGATGTGTGCATGAGACAGTGTGGTCAAGTGGTCAACAGTGTATATGAGACAGTGTGCTCAAATGGTCAGATGTGTGTATGAGACTGTGGTCAAGTGGTCAGATGTGTGCTTAAGACAGTGGTCTAGTGGTCAGTAGTATGTCTATATAATGTCACTATCTTTACCCAGTGGTGTGGTGTAAAGACAACTGAGAATTTATTTTAGCTACAACCCTTATCATCCCAATATAGACAGTAATTTTGATCACATCAAAGATTTCATCTGAGGCTCAACTTAATCATTCTAATGTACCAATCCCTATATCAGTTAGGTAGATAAAATTTCTGTTGGCTCACCCTTTTCTTGGAGCGGACAGCAGCTTCAGTGAGAGCACCAACCCACCTGTAATAAACAATAGCTTGCATTAAAACCTGCATCAGCACTGAATCAATGCCAAGATTACTGCAAAAATATATTTTGAGAAGTCGACACAAATGTTGAGATAATTCAACCAAAGGATATATGCTGTAAATTTTTTTTAAATAGCTTAACATAATATATTTAATCAACGCTTTTCAAATGTTTGTGAAGAGGAACCAGAAATATTTGTGAGTAGCCTGTAAAGAACATTTTTTTACAAAGAAAAAGATATTGTTACTAAATAAACAAAAAGTATTTTACTACTGGTGTCAGAGGCTATGTCTTATGACTTACGCAGTCAACTGGTCCCTGTTGTCAGTCATGAAGTAATACGTCCTGGCCCCGTACTTCTCTGCCTTGAAACAAAAGTCTTTGCTTGTGTCCGTGTGACGAGATATTGTGTAGCCATACAATGGCAGCGCTCCGAGTGGGTCATTTTCCTACACACGTAAATTAACAGTAACATTAGATAGTAGGTAATAACAATTAATAGTAATATTTGATAGTAGGTAGAAAAATTAACAGGAACATAAGAATTATGGTCTAAAAGTTAACAAAATCAAGATTAATTGTCTAAACCTTATCAAACACTTTTCTAAGGTTCTTTTATTCTCACTATTAGAATCAACGTTTTGTGTATGATTTAGTAGATTAGATAATTGTTTTTGCCCCACACATTTCTTATTCTTCTACGTTCCTAATTCTAGCGTTGTAAGAGATTTAACTTAATTTTGTAAAAATCTCCAAGAAAGAACAACAAGACTAAACTTTATTTACTCTATGGTATGAATAGGTACTTTACTTATCTAACTTAAAAAGTAGAAGTAAAGTTCCCCTTCCAAACCTGACAGTCTATGGGGCAACAAAGTTCACATGTTTATGTGACCTCAGCATATGAAGGGATAGTTTAATCTAACTTAACCTAATCAACTTAATGTTATAAAAGATTAAGGACTCATCCAAAACGTAGATTAAGGACCCATCTAACAAAGAAAACACTTGTCAGAACAAACTATCAATCTAGGACCACCACCTGACCTGGTCATTCTTGTAGTAGTACAAGCAATTGTCCTGCCTGAGTATGAAAAACCTTTTCTTCCATATCTTCATGAAGGAAGAGTTCCCCAGCTTGAACATAAACCCTGACATGACAGACGCCTGTAGGTCCCTCACAGGTTGGAAGTCACTGTTGGCCACGCCCAGCTTGATCTGGTTGCCACCTGACACAAAATTAACACTAATTAGCTATTAATTAATTATATTATGAAACAGTGTGGGAAATTTTTTTTCTAATTGAATTTTTTATAATACAGGATTTATATAGGCCTTTTTAGGCTCACAGTAAAATTAAAGTCAAGGTTAGCATAGCAAGCCTGGTAAAATACTCTTTTAATGTTCAAGTAAATGTATTAATCAAATATATTAATACTAATTTCAAATAAATAATTTACAGCTTTTATCAAAACACCTAGACAGGATTCATATTAACTTCAATAAGAAATATTCTAGACAAATTTAACACACGTAATACAACTTTTAACAGACCCACAGAACAAAATCAATTTCAATATTTAAAAAAGAAAACTAATTAAAATGCCTTCAACAAACAGGCAAATGATTTCAAACAACTCAGTTCATCCACCCAATTAACACCCTCACATGTTTGTATCAACTTGACGATGTCCGCATGGTCCCATGTCAGCACGTCCTGCTCGTTGACCGACACAAGAATCTGGCCTTCAGTGATGCCTGCCTTCTCAGCTGGGCTGCCTACATTGTGTCAAGGAAGATGGAAAATCCTCAACAATAAAGTTACTTAATTAAGAAAACTTCAGGGAGATTGAAAATCTGCTAGTTTATTAGCAATATAAAACTTGTAAGGAAATGAGGTTGAAAATCATTAATACAACTATTTTATTAGCAATGTAAAAAAAAAAATGGTATTTTTTACTAAGATATAAAAAAATTAGCCCAAAGCCTAACCCTGGCAAAAAGCAATTCAAGAACACAAATATCTTGAAAAATATTAGTATTATAATACTGCATGATAAATGCCATCAATTTAAGTGCTAGGTTTTAAATCTATATTTTTAAAAACCCAATAAGCCAAGCATTTTAATCTGAAATGGATTTGAGGAATATAGTTTAGTCAAGTGTGAAATTTAAGACAGATATGTATGCCTTGATAAAAAAAATTTCAAACACCATCTTTCAACAACTTTATGTTGCTAAGGATCATCATCTTTCACCCTTCATGCCCAAGACACCTGGGGCAGATGAAGTAGAGTTTGCCTTTTTCAGGGAACTCGGCATATAAAACGATAGTGTGGTCATCACTATGACCAGCCGGCTTTGCTTTCCCTAAGGTGAGTTAGGTACCCATCAGAACTGGGTGGACCACTATGTCATTGCTAAAGAAATGGGGGACTGAAATGGACAGTGAGGTAGCAAAAACCCAGCTTTAACATCTCCCCACATAGAATTAAAGATGGAGCAGGCACAAAGTACCAATATCCCTTGATACTGAGCTAACATCTTAAACATCTCCCCACATAGAATTAAAGATGGAGCAGGCACAAAGTACCAATATCCCTTGATACTGAGCTAATATCTTTAACATCTCCCCACATAGAATTAAAGATGGAGCAGGCACAAAGTACCAATATCCCTTGATACTGAGCTAACATCTTAAACATCTCCCCACATAGAATTAAAGATGGAGCAGGCACAAAGTACCAATATCCCTCGATACTGAGCTAACAGCTTTAACATCTCCCCACATAGAATTAATGATGGAGCAGGCACAAAGTACCAATATCCCTCGATACTGAGCTAATATCTTTAACATCTCCCCACATAGAATTAAAGATGGAGCAGGCACAAAGTACCAATATCCCTCAATACTGAGCTAACATCTTTAACACCTCCCCACATAGAATTAAAGATGGAGCAGGCACAAAGTACCAATATCCCTCAATACTGAGCTAATATCTTTAACACCTCCCCACATAGAATTAATGGTGGAGCAGGCACAAAGTACCAATATATCTCGATATTGAGCTAACATCTTTAACATCTCCCCACATAGAATTAAAGATGGAGCAGGCACAAAGTACCAATATCCCTCGATACTGAGCTAACAGCTTTAACATCTCCCCACATAGAATTAATGATGGAGCAGGCACAAAGTACCAATATCCCTCGATACTGAGCTAACATCTTTAACATCTCCCCACATAGAATTAATGATGGAGCAGGCACAAAGTACCAATATCCCTCGATACTGAGCTAACATCTTTAACATCTCCCCACATAGAATTAATGATGGAGCAGGCACAAAGTACCAATATCCCTTGATACTGAGCTAACATCTTTTACTGAGCTAACATCTTTAACAGACTGACCTTGATCCACAGAGGTAATAAATGCAGGGTGGCTGTTCAGCAGATGTAGGCCAAGGTCGTCACTGCCAGAAGTTCTTTCTACAGTCACCTGCTTGTCTTCATCTGTCAAACAAAAATAATTTTTCACACAAATTGTGAAAGTCAAATTTTTCACACAAACTGTGACGGTAAAATTTTTCACACAAACTGAGACGTTAAAATTTTTCACACACACTGGGAAGGTAACATTTTTCACACACACTGGGAAGGTAACATTTTTCACACACACTGGAAGGGTAAAATTTTTCACACACACTGTGATGGTAAAATTTTTCACACAAACTGTGACGGTAAAATTTTTCACACAAATTGTGATAGTCAAATTTTTCACACAAACTGTGACGGTAACATTTTTCACACAATGTGATGGTAAAAATTTTCACACAAACTAAACTGTGACAGTAAAATTTTCACACAAACTGTGACGGTAAAATTTTTCACACAAACTGTGACGGTAAAATTTTTCACACAAACTGTGATGGTAAAATTTTTCACACAAACTGTGACGGTAACATTTTTCACACAAACTGTGATGGTAAAATTGTTCACACAAACTGTGACGGTAAAATTGTTCACACAAACTGTGATCGTAAAAGTTTTCACACCAACTGACGGTAAAATATTTCACACAAACTGACAGTAAATTTTTTACACAAACTGTGATGGTACAATTTTTCACACAAACCTACCCAGTTAGTACTCACCATAGACCTTGGCAGAAAGACGGTGGTACTCTTGCTGACTATCAGCTCGCTGAATGAGACACTTTGACCTATGACCTACCCAGTTAGTACTCACCATAAACCCTGGCAGAAAGACGGTGGTACTCCTGTTGGCTGTCAGCTCGCTGGATCAGGCACTTGCGGCGCGACATGTAACGGCGCTTGAATTCACTCTCTGAGGCTGTGGTAGTCACAGAGTCCGAGCGCTTGTGGAAAAGTTTATTTTTAGCCAGGGCTTGCTCCATGGGATCCACAAACACATCGTCCACTGTAAGAAAAATAAACCGGGAGTGATCTCCCCTAAACTTTCTCGAATATTCTTATATAACTTGGAATGTAGACATGATTTTTAATAACTTAAACTTTTAAAAATAGAATAGAATCTCATAGAAAAAAACATTGCGCACCAAACAAACGCCGAAACAAAATGTGCATAATAGTGCGCAATATTATTAGTACTTTATAAATTTACTTGCGTTTTTTGAGAAATCGGAAATAGCGTAAATTAGTACTTCCGGTCAACGAAAATTACTCAAAATTTGAAAGAAGGTAGAGAATTAGATCTATTACTTACATGTGAAATTTCATTTATCTATCTGAAATAGTACTCAAGTTATAGGCTTTTGAAAAATTCAAAGTAGAAAAAGTACCACTTCCGGTTATCGAAAATCGCTAAAAAGTTGATATGGATCTACGATTTTGATAAAATACTTATATATGAAATTTCATCAACCTAGCTGTAACGGTACTCAAGTTATCGTGTTTACACACAGACACACACACAGACAGACAGACAGACAGACAGACAGACAGACACACAGACATACGGACAAGATTGCAAAATTATGTTTTTCCGTATCAGTGAGGTGTAAAACGTCGAGATTTGCATGATTACAAGACTTTCTCTATACTTCGTATATACGAGAAAGTAAAAAACAGAAATAGTAGGCACCCAGTGTTCCTGCATATTTCACATATACCCACCTAACACAAATTAGGAACCCATCTAACTCATAGATTAAGGACCCCTCTAACACTTAGATTTAGGACCCTTCTAACACATAGAATAAGGACCCTTCTAGCACATAGATTAAGGACCCTTCTAACACAGATTAAAAGCCCTTCTAACACATAGATTAAAAGCTTTTCTAACACATAGATTAAATCAACTTTAAGTGTCCCCTGTAAAAAAGAATTATATAATGTGTGTATATGATAGCAAAGTTAAAGAGATTCTTAAATAAAAGTTCAAAAAAACAAAAAAAAACAGCTAAATATAGATGAAAACACCAAAAGAAGTGCTTAGAAAAACACTAAGACTTTGTGACAAATATTCTTTTAAATATAGATTTGCTTATAATTAATATAATTGCCATATTACCCCTGGGGCTGAGCACATCCTCATAGTCCCCTCCCTCTGAGGTACTGAGTCCAGGGGTGGACACGGAGGCAGTGGAGGGTAATGAACTGGACTGAGATGAGCCTACGGGCATCTGGAACTCCAGCTTCCCCTCCTGGCTTATCCTGATCCAGTTAGATCGTCTAAAACTCTCAGCATAGATTCCTGTTGAAATAGTTTATGAGCTAGATGTTAGTAAAGATAAAACGTCAATGCCTTCAATCAGAGTTTTACAAACTAGAAGGTGCAGTGCAGCGATAAGAATCTGTCTTGTGCTAAGGAAATGGAAAAATGTCTAACAGAAAATTATAATATACAGATTTAACTAAATTTAACGTCATTATAGTAGAGATGTATCTCAATATACCCAATTTTAAAATGTTGACAATGAATAACGTCATTATAGTAGAGTTGATCTCAATATATCCAATTTTAAAATGTTGACAATGAATCAACTATACAATTATCATATATAACAATCTAAATAACCAGGGTGCGGTGTACATAAGCACTAAAGGTATCATCCTCAGCACCACAGCGCTTTAATACATTGTATAAATGTGTGCATAAGTATAATCTATATTCACTATTCAGTCTATCCATCTATCACTATCTATCTGTGTGACAAGAACACTCTAGAGAAAACAATAGGAAAATAAAATACTTAAAAAAAACTTTTTAAAAAACCACGTTTTTCTTGTGGACTAAAAAGTAGAAAATAAACTTTTCTTTTGTGCTTCCTCGAGCTGTGCAGGTTCTTGTGATGACTGACAAAAAACGTGGGTACGTTCACCATCAAATTTCCCGACCCATCTGCCCGACCCACGTTTTTTGTCAGTCATCACAAGAACCTGCACAGCTTTAGTCCACAAGAAAAACGTGGTTTTTTAAAAAGTTTTTTTTAAGTATTTTATTTTCTCCTTTTTAGTCCGTTGCTACACATGAAAAACGTGGTTTTTAAAAAGTTTTTTATATAGTTTATTTTCTACTTTATCTAATGACTTGATTAAGTATGACTTGACTAAGTGTTTATAAATACATGGACTAAAAATCTTGAGCGACCGATACGCTTTAAACAGAGAAAGGGCGTAATTTAATTAAGCCTACATGCCGTGACCAGGATTCGAACCTGGGTTGTCGCTGCCACAACGCGAAGTACTAACCACTATACGATCACGGCCAGCGCGCTCACATCGATTGGGGCCGAAGTAACTGTGTCAATAGGCCTCCAGTCTTGTCTGTATGTTTAGAAGTCATGTCCTCGATTTTATGGTCCTTGGGGCGTAATTTAATTAAGCTAATTTAGGTCTCTAATTGCTAGTTTTTATGATTGCATCTGAAATTGTTAGGCGAAAATAGCCTGCATTCCAAATTTCAGATCTCTAGAGCAATCAGAAGTGGGCTCATTTTCGATGTCAATTTTAACAACAAACATCCAAACAAACAAACAAATAAACGTGAAGCTGAGTTAAGAAAAACATGTTAATAAAAACATGATGTCACATTAAACAAAGAAGGAAATATCAAATCAAGTCAGGAAATGAAACCCATTAAGTTAATAATCCAAAAAGCACACAACAAGTATGATGTCATTGAATGTAGAATAAAAATTAGAATTAAAAATCAAATGCCGAGAAGGATACACAAAGATGATGACGTCATTGACAACTGATAGTCAAGACACTGACATGATCATTTTATTTATTTATCAAAGCTTAAAAGTGTATGTGACAGTACTAAAACTTTTTAGTAAAAGGCAAATAAAAATAACATAATAATGCAAAGTAAAGGCAAAACAAATGACATTTTAAACATATAAAATAAGTAGGTCTATTACTATAATCAAGGCAAATGTTATTTAATTGATTTTAAAAAATCATTTAAGTTAACGAGTTATTAAAATACACTATATAGTAAGCATTTGTAGTTCGTTCTAAGTCTAAGTGAAGAGACTAAGTGGGAGTGATACGTGAACGGTCTACGTCTGAAGTCAAATAGAAAGCAGTTTAGATGTTGGTGTGATCTCCGAATGTAGCCTTTGTCTAGGGTGAGCCTAGGTGCAAGGTTGAGGGGTAAGATCTACAACTAGAATAAGTTAGAATGTGCTGTAACTATGAGTAGATCCCCCCCCCCCCCCCCCCACCCATTCATTAGCTCACCAAGTCAATTACCCACCTGTACATAACCCTACCATAACAACAGCAGTTGGACATTACTCCTAATCAATTACCCACCGGTAATTTAGAGAGACAGATGTGGGTAGGGATAGCTTAAGGATATATTAAGAATAAGTTAAGTAAAGCTATAGGTATTGGAACAGGTAGGGGATAGAGAGGGAAAATGCAATGGCTAGGGACAAAAGAGGGAAATAGGTTTAAGATAGGGATTGACAACAGGATAAGGAAAAAGAAAAAGGTGCAAAAGGAGAGGGATAGTTACAGGGAATAGGGATATTCATGATTATGAATATAGTATTTATAGTTAGGGTTATATATATTTTCTCAAACATTCATTTTTGCAAATAGATATTTTATTTTATATTATCCATAAAACCTGTGCATATATATATATATATATATATATATATATATATATATATATATATATATATATATATATATATATATATATATATGAAGAGTTTATTTTCAAAATGCAATATATCCAAAATTTTGGTTTTGAGAAAATCGCACTTTTCTCCTGCACAAAGCCATTGTACAATATGCTAAAACTGTTTTTCAAAAATAGAAATAAAATAAAAATTTTGCGCCGTGAAGATTAAAATTAAGTTTTCCTAATAGTAACTGAGTAGCTTTATAATATGGGCACGTTATCTCATTTTTTTTCAAAAATGGTGCTTAGCGCGTTTTGAAAATAAACTCTTCATATATATATATATATATATATATATATATATATATATATATATATATATACAATTCTCTTCTTGGAGACACTAGAAAACAAGCTGTGAGCGCGCTCTCTACCACCCCACCCCTACATGGTCTGGTGAGCTTTGGTTCACACTAAATGTTTACAATCATAGAGCCGGGTTTAGTGACAGCTACTAGGGGCAGATAGTTTAGTTTGAAACGATTTTAAACTTAGGGAAGGTAACAAAGAGGAGGCTGCTTTCACGGGGGGGGGGTGTAGGGTAGGGGTTGGGGGAAAGGAGGGTGGGGGTAGTATCATCCTTAATGACCTACTGATAGTGTTTTAAAGCAAATATTTTCAGTGGCAGCATTGGTAGGCCTACTGTCGAATTCACAAATTATAAATTACTGAAAAGTAGAAAATAAAACAACTAAATAGCGGTGTATGATATGCCGCGGGTCGGCTTGTATATATATATATATATATATATATATATATATATATATATATATATATATATATATATATATATTCAGCTTCTTCCAATTTATGAATCCATAACATAGAAGGGAAATACTTTATAACTAGATCTTTGTGCTCAAAAGTTTTAGCACACACATAAACTCAGTCTAGTGAAAAAATGAGAATCATTGTATAGCTAGTATTTAATTAAACTTGAATATCAAAATGTTTACTATTTACATTTTAATAGTCTTTATATTGGTCCCTAGTTAAAATAAAAAGCCATCAGTTGTATAAAATACTTCATGTTTAGACAAGTGAAATCATGAACCAAGCAAATGAAAGTGTATTTCATATTATGAAAAATTTCAATAGTAGAGTGTGATGACGCAAGGTTGCGTCGGAGAGGTCAGGTAGATGGCAGAAAGATATTATATATAAACATTTTAGTGGAGAGAATATTTGGTCAGAGAATAAATATTTTAGAAGCTGATAAGTAAAAAAAAATCAGGAGAAATATAACTATGAAGTAAGTAAGACTGACTTTATAGTAAAGTAAAAACAATTCAGATTGAAAGAAAAGTTAATTACTATCACCAATGAGTCAGTTTTCATTAATTAGTTCTAGCCTGTTGTTGTTTTTTTTAAATGTATGAGCATACTTAAAATTAAAATAATATTTACATATTATGTCAATACTAATTAATCAGTCATTCTTGAGAGTCTTTTTCCTATGAAAAGTATTTGTTATGAATTTGTACTTGAGTTTCACAATGTGTTTTGTATTGTTTCCTAGAAAAGAAACTTTAGATACAAACAATGCACGAAGTTAAACAATGCTGTGCTATCACTAAGGTAGCAGTAAAGAATGTATTTAAAGCGTTCAGTTAAAGCTGACAACACCAGGAGATTGGACATGATCACCTTGATCTCAATAGCCGAGTTATAGCTGGTTAGATACAAACAGCACTGTATGGTACAACAGTGTAACAGCATGTTATGTTAGCAGTATCAAAAGCATATTAAATGTCATTTTTCAGGCAAGGAAGACAGGCAAAAGTTCACATACACAAGTGTTATGTTATGATGAAACTTTGGTTTACTGTAGCCCACAAAATGACATTAAGAAACAGACTGAAAAACTTGTCTTTTTCTATTTTATTGATCAGATGAAGCAAAACTTATGTTCAAATAATAGGATATTTTGTTTATGTAATAGAAAATGCTTAGGCTTGGTTTTATTGTAATCATATTACCCAGCACTGCATGTTTATTTCATGATCTGATTTTAAAACTTTTAGTTTTATACTATGACAGCTTTTATGGTCGCTGTTGACTTTACTAAAATTGCTTTTAAAAAATTACGTTCATGGTTATTTAGTTTAACAGCTTTTAAAGAAATTAAGTTCATGGCTATTTAGTAAAAAATAACGGGTTTTAAGGGCTGTATTTACCAAAACAGCTTTTTAGATGCAACGTTTAAGTTCTATTTAGGGCTGGGTACAAAGGTGTTCTACCAAAAAAAAAGCTCATTTTCCATCCACAACATCTTTATGGAAAGACATCCACTTTACTAGAGAGTGTTGCAACTACATCAGAGTTTCTTCCAGGCATTCTACCGCCCCCGAACAAAATGAAATTTATATAATTACTTTTAACAGTGTCGTCCATCCGTCCGTTCCCCCCCCCCCCCCCCGAAAATTTCAAGTGCCCCCCCCCCAGAGAAAAAAGTCTGGAAGAAACACTGAACTACATGAGGGAACAAGTTCTGTTTGACCATCCAGTGTACCAGCATTATTAAAGTAGTACCTCTAGACATGTTTAGTATATACACAAGTGCCCTGAGAAGAGTACCCTTGGAACATATCAAGGCAGCAACCTAGAAAGTTGAATAACATGTTGCTCCTACTTCATGCTGTTATTATTAACCTACATCAATGTTGCCCAATAACAACCAACACACATGACACCTTACTTTTGTAATTTCACAAACACTAGTCAAACTATTTGATTCCAGCATATCCTCAGATAAATATCTGATATTAACTATTGTACCTAATGATAACGCTAAACTTAAACTCTAAGAGATTATATCATACACTCTGTAGGAAATCTAAGGTTGTGTCACAAGTTTATCTAAAGGTAATTTACAGCTACACAATAAATTATGTCATAAAAAAAGTTAAAAATTTATTTAAAGGAATTTATTCACAAAACAAAATGAAAGAGAAAGTAGTTTTTTCAGACAGAATTAAGAGATGTTTAATAAGTAATATCCAAAGTTCTTATCAAAAATCATCTTTACGAGTATGGAACATATCCAATTTAATGTTCCAATGTCCAAATGCAAGTCTATTTGGGATCATAAAGATAACTAACTTAATCAGCTGATACATTCATGATACAATGATAAGCTGGAGTTTGAAATTTATACTTTAGTTGAACCTCTAATAACACTTTCTTTTAAATTAAGTTTGTTTGATAAAATAAAATGTATTAACAATACACTGTTACGGTTACAATGTAAAAAGCCTTACCTATGTCTTCATCTGAGGAATCATCACTGCCTATTTCTGCTGATGGGTTCTTCTCTAACTTTGGTCGCCTCGTAACATTTTTTGTTACATGTTCACTTTTTACACATCCTTTAAAATCAGAACCTTCTCCAGAATTTTCTCCAACAGCTTCAGGCTTTGTACTGCCAGATAAAACTGTGTTAACATCTGCTAGTTTAGACATGCCAGATGGTACGTTTCCATCACCCATGCCTTGACAATTATTAATATCTATTGTGTCGTAATCCTGGTCGTTTGCTGTAAACACGCTGAGATCTTTAGTGTCAATGTTACTATAATCTTCTTCATCATCTGAAGATGCTGATGTGATTCTCGTATTTACATCACCAGTGTCACCATAAGCGAAATAGCTATCCATCATCAGTGAACTTTTATTTTGGTCTTCTGAATCAGATGAGTCTATTCCAACTTTACGACCAGTTTTTACTTTAGCGAAATCTACAGTTATTACTGCCTGATTTGAGGCATCTTTTTGTGTAGAGATTTGTGTTTTCTCGTTGTCACCACATACATTATCAGTTGACTGTGAACCTGTGGTTAAAGTGTTTTCTTTATTGCTAGCTGTTTCTAACTTAATTACACTATTAATTAACCCATTGGGGCGTTTTGTTTTTAAATCAAGTGTTGAATTATTAACTGCTGCGATTTCATCCAGGGATTCTAATTGATCATTCTCAATCAGTGTTTGAAAATTAAGTTCTTGTTCATCTAATTTAAGCACAGTTACATCAACATCATCATATTCAGCATCTCTATCTTGACTACAGCTCCCACGGCCTGCAATACTCTGTTCACTGGCACTGACGTCAGTCCAACAGTCTTCTGCACTCTTGCCATGCCCTGTTGCCGATTTAGAGACAATGTCTGCATCATTAGCATAGTCAAAATCACCATGTACATGACGCTCCAATGAAGCAAAACCAGAATCTTTAGAGCGGAACCCGGCTAAATATCCGTCATTTTCTTTAAGATCCTCCTCAACACTAACAATACCCTTAGAATAAATATGATTTCCTACATCTTTAAAACCATCTATATCATACTCATCTAAGTTATCTATGCACATAGATGGATTTTTCAAAAAAGCAAATACTTCACTAACAACAGTAGTTGGCGTTCTTTCTTTATTTTTATATCTGCTATTCCGTTTGCTCTCTCCATCTTTACGAATAGCCACTTCTTCAAAATCATCACCTGCATCTAATTCTATTTCATTATCCAAAGGTGGGGAAGAATCTGTGGTGCTCATTTCTGCATCAAGAATTTTTTCCTTAAACCAGTGAAGATGACATCTCTAAATTAGACCTACCTGGAAAAGTTTAAATATAACATTACATTTTACGTTTTCTTTTTTTTTTTTGTAAAAATATAAAATAGAATTTTTTAAAACAAAATGGTAAGACTGAGACCAACTAAGAATAAGATTAATTAGAGAGTTAACAATCAACTAAAAATAAACTACTCGGCCCTACTACTATTTAAAACAGCAAATGGGGGAGGAAAAGTTACATTTTAAATCCCTACCTAATTATTACAATTAGAGTCTAGATCTAGTTGAATTAGATTTTGGACTAGACTTAGCAACTTTGAGTACTTTAGAGAAAGTTTATTTTTTGTGACAAGATAATAAAATTATAAAATAGGTTGAATGCTTTGCTTGTGTATGTCACTTGTCAGCTTGTCTAAAAAAAAATTCCACTTAGGTCTGGATTTTGTCTTGGCAAAATTTAATAGCACTGGTGCTTATATAACTTATAGCTAGCCCAATCTATTCAATTAAATAGATCTTGATTCTGTAGATCTTAGTATTTTAAGTTTGGGGTCATCCATAAATGACATTACGCTTTTTTTGACGATTTTTACCTTCCCCTCCCTTCTGTCACACATTGTCACAAAAAGCCAAACCCCCCAGCCTAAAATGATGTCATACCTCAGCCTACAACCCCCTCAAAATTGCAGTTTTCTTAAAACATTGACATTTTTCCAAAATCTTGTCTGAACTCTCTCAACAGAGTATTTTAATCAATTCCTATTAGGCATTAGGCCTACAATTTATTAAAACAGTTTTCTTAAACAAGAAATGCGGGCTAAAATTCGTTTTCTAAATTGCTTTATTATTATAATGCAAAAAAAGTGTGACGTCCCACCATCTGAAACCCCCTCCCCTCATCACACACCATCACAAAATTACAGACCCCCCCCACGAGCATGACGTCATTTATTGGCCCGTTTAGCTTGTAATGTAGATAGATAGACATATCTAGTAGATTACTATCTAGATTTAGATCTAGTAGTCTAGATACTCTGATAGGCCTACAACTACAAGAAATCTTCTAAATACAAATCTAGACAAAAGTTTTTTAGAATGAGAATAAAAATAAAATTAGGATTAGATTTTAGATCTAGTCAAGGTCTAGACTAGAAAAAATAGTTTAAAATAAAATCCTAGATCTAGATCTAGAATCTAGATCTAGATTCTAGATCTAGTCACCTAGTCCTAGTGGCCTAGTCGAGACTAGTGTCACAAGTGTGTGACTGTGATCTCTAGATCTAGAATAGATCTAGACATCTAGAGCTAGATTCTCTAGATCTAGTCTAGAATCTAGATTTCTAGAATCTCTAAAATTAAATTATTCTAGATTCTAGATCTAGATCTAGATTAGATCTAGATCTAGAATCTAGATCTAGATCTAGATCTAGATCATCTAGATCTAGAATCTATTATCTAGATTCTAGTCTAGATTAGATCAAGAAGAACTCAAGAGCTAGATCTAGATCTAGACCTAGATCTAGATCTACTATGCTACTAATTATATCTACTAGATCTAGATCTACTAGTTTACCTCGATGATTGATCTTTCTTCAAGTCAAAAATAGTGTAGAGGAATGTTTCTGGATTGCGGTTTCAGCAGCAAGTTGTTATTGATCGAGGCTGAAATCAATTCCGGAAATAAATTGTCATGAAGGGGAAATTATGCACTCTTGCTTTTGTAAACATTGAAATCAAGTGGTAACGTTAAAAATGCCTTCTTAAAAAGTAAAACTAAAACTGATTTTTAATTTTGTTCTGGGTCTAATAATCCTTTTTATAGAAATCAACCAATTTTAGCGGCGTTGTTTAAAACGAAACGGAATCAAAAGGGAGAAGAAAAAAAACCCACCTATTTTCAGGCCTTTCTCCGAGGGGGGGGACGAGTACTTCTACTATTCACCACACTCACCCCCTCCCTGCCTTCCGGGTAAAACAGAAAACATTAAACTTAAATAGAAAATATAAATTGTTGGCCTCCACGGAAGTTTCAAGTGCCCCCCCCCCCCCCCCCAGCACTCCTGGTCCCACTTTATCTCCGTCACACTCTCATAAATGTAATTAAAAGCAGCGAAGGCAAGTGGGTGTTAGTACCTTTATGGGGCAAATTGAATACACCCCTTAACAAAGTCATGCAAACACCAATGATTCGAATAATAGTATGTATGATCAGTATTTATATGCAGTTTCTTCCACCTTTTTTCTCGGGGGGGGGGGGGGGCTAAAATTTCCAAGGGGCGGCCACTGTTAAAAGTTTTTTTTTTAAATAAATTCCATTTCGTGGGGGGGGGGGGGCTTTCGAAGTAAGCGTAAGACAGCGGGTTCTACACTAAGACCTCCCTCCTCCCCCCCCCCCCCCTCATACACACGCTGGTGTTGGAGAGCCGTGAAAGCTGTAGGCCTGTATTTAATGTTCATTACCTGATATGGTAAACATGTATGGGTGTTGGACGCCCCATGTTACCCAAAGGTCAAAGGTTAACTGCAGTTTCTTTCGAGGGGTAAGGGGGGGGGGGGGGGGGCGTGGATGCCCCTGATAGTTCCTGACTCACGTAAGGCGGCTGGGCATAGTGCTGAAAACAACTATCTCCCCGTCTGCCCAGATCATTGAAACATGATGAACTCTACTTCATCTGCCCCATGTGTCTTGGACACGAACGGGAAATGATGACGTTAGTCATGATGAATGGGCGGAGGCACCAAGATTTGGGGGGGGGGGGGTGGTGGCCAGTAACAAAAAGTTTGAGAACCGCTGGCCTAGGTTAGGTAGGTATAGACCTATTATTATATGCTTAGATGCAACACGACACTGTTAACTAAGCAGATCCGTGTCTTCTTAATCCTTTTGCTTATCTCAACCGGCATAAATAATCGATATTTGTTTAGTATAAAAATAGATTTGGGGAAATACTATGCTCAGTAAGGCGTGGTCCGGTCCGCGTTGGGTGACACCATTTATGGGGGGGGGTGTCCGGTCCTCACCTGGTGACACCATTTAGGGGTGACACCAAGCTAAAAAAAATACACACACAGCCAAACAAAACATCGGACTCCTTAGAATGAGGTCAGTCAGTTTAGCTGACAACAGATTTTTTTTTTGTAAGGGGTTATAACAAGTATAGGATTCTAGTTGTCAAACATATTAATTGATTTATTTCCCTTTCCGCGTTTACTCAAAAACAATATTACGAAAGCTGGATTAATTTTACCAATTTTTACAACAAATAAAAAAACATTTTTAAATTTAAAAAAAAAAAAATAAAACTACTGAAATCAAATAACAAAACACCATATATTTTTTATGCAAGAGTTTGACATCATACTTTATTGCAAATTTAGCAGAGAAAATTGAGAATATTCAAGCCGAACAGATGGGGAAATGGCCCAAATCAACTCACAGTGACCAGCCAATCTATTTTTGTGGGGTGTGTTGGGTATTGAAACACTATAATTTTGCTAGTACCCCTACCACCATACGAAACCCAGACCTAACCTTATTGTAAATCAAAATCTATAGGTCTACTAGAGCTATTGGAAGTAAAAAAAATATAATTTTATACAGGACTAGAAACAGTTGTCTAATTTAGAGGTAGATATGCTCTTTATTCACAGAAAATTTGCCGCTAACTTTTTATCATTTAAACATTAAAAATCAGCTTCTAATGGCTGGTCTCTTAACAAACTTCTTGTTACTTGCCACATAGCCTATTAAGACGTTACTTTATAACCTGTATGGGACGTAGTGGTCTAGCGGTAGAGAGCTGGACTGCTAACCCGTAAGTCTCGAGTTCGAATACGGGTTCAAGTCAGTAGACCGTCCCTGAGTCCACCCAACTCTGATGGGTACCTAACTCACGTTAGGGAAAGTAAAGGCGGCTGGGCATAGTGCTGACCACACTATCTCTTCATAAACAAGTGAACTCTACTTCACTTGCCCCATAGACCGTCAGGTTTGAAAGGGAAACTTTACTTTTTACTTTTACTTTATAACCTGTGTGTTTTACTTATTTCATGCGCTGAACATTGCTTAGATAATGAATTGAAAAGGAAATAGTCGGACATGTTAATATAAATGTTCAGTAAAGTATAAATATATAATTGATCTGCTTTCAAGCAAAATAAATTGTGAGACATTCCTGCTTTGTGATAAATGTAGATTTATTTTACACTATGTACAATATCAGCTCAACAACTCAGCCATGAAAATAATAAAAGTCCCACCCAAACCCTGGACATAAACATTTTAATCTCTCCATCTGTGTGCACAGGCCATATTGCAGCATTTGTAAAAAGTGGTCATAGGCTCGTCAGCTGATCTGGTCTGGATTTGCATAAAAAAGGCTCTCTTGTTTTCACACTTGGGACAGGTTACTGAAAGACAAAAAATGTGATTTAGTGAGACAAAACTTTTCTAAAAGGCATAGGTTACTTTATTCCCAGACAGTGATTGTTGAAGAGGAAAATTGAAATATGGTTTGTTTTAATACAGCATTACTTGTCTAAATGTGGTTGTTTTAATACAGCATTATTTGTCTCAATGTGGTTGTTTTAATACAGCATTATTTGTCTAAATGTGGTTGTTTTAATACAGCATAATTTGCCAAAATGTGATTGTTTTAATACAGCATAATTTGCCAAAATGTGGTTGTTTTAATACAGCATAATTTGTCAAAATGTGGTTGTTCTAATACAGCATAATTAGTCAAAATGTGGTTGTTTTAATACAGCATAATTTGTCAAAATGTGGTTGTTTTAATACAGCATAATTTGTCAAAATGTGGTTGTTTTAATACAGCATAATTTGTCATAATGTGGTTGTTCTAATACAGCATAATTAGTCAAAATGTGGTTGTTTTAATACAGCATAATTTGTCAAAATGTGGTTGTTTTAATACAGCATAATTTGTCAAAATGTGGTTGTTTTAATACAGCATAATTAGTCAAAATGTGGTTGTTTTAATACAGCATAATTTGCCAAAATGTGGTTGTTTTAATACAGCATAATTTGTCAAAATGTGGTTGTTCTAATACAGCATAATTAGTCAAAATGTGGTTGTTTTAATACAGCATAATTTGTCAAAATGTGGTTGTTTTAATACAGCATAATTTGTCAAAATGTGGTTGTTTTAATACAGCATAATTTGTCATAATGTGGTTGTTCTAATACAGCATAATTAGTCAAAATGTGGTTGTTTTAATACAGCATAATTTGTCAAAATGTGGTTGTTTTAATACAGCATAATTTGTCAAAATGTGGTTGTTTTAATACAGCATAATTAGTCAAAATGTGGTTGTTTTAATACAGCATAATTAGTCAAAATGTGGTTGTTTTAATACAGCATAATTTGTCAAAATGTGGTTGTTTTAATACAGCATAATTTGTCAAAATGTGGTTGTTTTAATACAGCATAATTTGCCAAAATGTGGTTGTTTTAATACAGCATAATTTGCCAAAATGTGGTTGTTTTAATACAGCATAATTTGGATGGCTTGAGCCCACTCAAGGGAGGCATTAATCTTCTGTCAGTACCAGGAAAAGTCTTCTGCAGAGTGCTATTACAAAGAATGAGGAAAGGAATTGATGGGATCCTTCGTGAAGAACAAGCTGGCTTCAGGGCCAACAGGTCATGTAACGACCAAATATTTGTCTTGCGCACTATAGTGGAACAGTCACTGGAGTGGAATTCGTCTCTCTACATCAACTACATAGATTTCGAGAAAGCATTTGATAGCATCCACCATCCATCATTATGGAAGATACTAGAGCTATATGGCTTTCCAGGAAAAGTCATAAACATACTTAAGGACATGTACTATGATAACCAATGCTGTGTGCGACACGAAAATCAGCAAAGTGAATGGTTCAAGGTAAAAACAGGAGTCAGACAGGGCTGTGTCATCTCACCTGTCATCTTTTTGGTGGTAATAGACTGGATTATGAGAAGAGCCACTGAGGATAAGCCAAGAGGAATTGTTTGGGAACTTACCAACCACCTAGAGGACTGTGACTTTGCTGATGACTTGGCTTTACTTTCACATGCCCAAAAAGACATCCAAGCGAAAACCACAAGAATAGAGCAAATTGCCAAAAGCGTTGGGCTAAAGATAAACTCCGGAAAAACCAAGCTAATGAAAATAAAAACCAAAAGTGCTCTCAAGACCTTTGCGAATGGAGCAGAGCTAGAAGAGGTCGAAGACTTTAAGTACCTCGGCAGCTATATATCAGCAAATGGCAGCATGGAGAAAGAAATTGCCACCAGAATAGCAATGGCAGCACAAGCTTTCAACAGACTCGCTAAGATCTGGAAATCATCCTCACTGCAGCAGAGAACTAAAATAAGGATCTATAAGTCTAATGTACGTTCTGTACTCCTCTATGCTGCAGAGTCATGGAAACTAAACAAGAAAGTAGACAGCCGACTCAGAGGCTTTGAAAGAAGATCCCTCCAACGCATCCTCAGGATAAAGTGGGACGACAAAGTCCCGAACAAGGAAATATGGCGAAGGACAGGATTAAACGACATTGTCTCAGAAGTTAGAACGAGGAGATGGAGATGGCTGGGCCATGTCCTACGCATGAGCAAAAAAAGACTCCCCAACATGGCGCTGAAGTGGAACCCACCCGGAAAGAGAAGTAGAGGAAGACCACTGGGAACATGGAGGAGGGAGATGGAAGAAGAAGTACAGGCTACTGGCAAAACCTGGCATGAACTAAAGTGGCTCGCCCAGGACAGGGTGGAATGGCGGAGATTTGTTGTTGCCCTATACTCCACAGGGAGTGATGAGGATTAAGTAAGTAAGTAAGTAAGAGCCCACTCAGCTCTAAGGTAGAGGGGTATAGAAGTGACCACACTACCACTTCATATGCAGAGAACACATAAACTGATGGACACTACTTCATCTGCCGTATTGACCGCCAGGAATGAAAGTGTAACTACTTTATTTACTTTAACATAGCAGAATAGTTTAGTATAAAGATATAGTTTTCCATTGTATGGTACTAAGTGATCTATAATAGTACTAAATATATCCTACCTGACCTTAGCTCTAAATTAACTAGAAACCAAATACTGAAGTGTATAAACAGACATGAAAACAAGAAATTACCGCCACTAAACACCTAGTACCCAATAAGATCCTTATGAAACAAGTTAATAAAAAGTCTAGTGACAATTTAAGCGCAATTTCCTTATGTTACCTAAAAATAGATAGACGTATAATGCTGTGGTGCGTTCAAGCTAGGAGAACGATCGGTTTGTAGGTGTTTATGTAATTTTTAAAAAAATTTTGTGACTGAACGAAAGGATATTTTTGAAAACTTTCTTCGGCAATATTGTTCTAAATTATGGCAGGAATCGATTGGTAAATGTTTCAAGTCGCTAAGTGGTCTGGTTGCCGAGATATGGGCCAAAAACTGCATTTTTTCAAGGTTTTTTGGCTTTTCCGGAATATCCAGGAAGGAATTCCGGGAATTTTTTTGGCCCACAATCATCCTCGGAACTTGCTTAACATATTTGCTTTTGGAACTAGTCCTCGATATTGCTTCGTTGAGGAGGAGATACGACTTAAAGCTGCGGACACACATCCTTGACGAGTTAATAATCGCAATTGTCGGTATGGAAATTGCGCTAAAAAACAAGCAGGATTTTCCTGTCAATAACACTTTTTGACTAAAGATAGGGTAAATGAAAATACTAGCTGATTAAGCGCTACAGTGAAAGTTAAGGAGGATGTCACCTTCTGTGGAATCAACATTCTCCCAAGCTGCCGCTCCACCCAGCACATCGTCTACTTCTTTCAGTTTTGGATACACCTTGTGGGAGATCTGTGGGAAATATTAAAACATTGTAAGCAGAGGCGTAGCGAGGGGGGGGGGAGAGGGCGGGGGGGTGCAGACCGCACCGGGTGACACAATTTAGGGGGGGGTGACACCAAGGCAAAAAATAGTAAAATATAGAGAAAAATTTGAGGGGGGGGTGCAAATCGAAAGTTTGAGGGGGGGTACAAATCGAAAATAGAGAAAGTTTGTCACCGGGAAGAGTCGCTACACCTCTGGGGGGGGGGGGGGGGGGGTGACACCATTAAGTGCCGCACCGGGTGACACCCGACCTCGCTACGCCACTGATTGTATTATTGTAAGCCTAATTGACTTTAACGTTTATTACAATTTAACATTTGTTATATCATATTCAACAAAAACACCTGTAAGACTTCACAGTATCAGTAGTCATTAACTAATCAACTGCTTCCTTAACATTTTGGCTGTCTTATAAGATCACAGTGGCAATTTGGCAAAAAAAAAAGACAGAACTATACCTATTTAATACCTAAATCTAAGGTTTTATAATTTTAATTTTCCCGTGACTATAACATAGGATCTACACTACATTACATGGTGCCTGATCTACTCAAAGGAGATAATTGTAGCGTAGGCCTGTCTTCTGTTCAAAATGAAGAATGTTACTAGTAGATTTCATATAAAATGTAGAAAACTGTCACAGTGGAGCTTTATGAAATAAGGCATAACTGTTTAACTGCAAGTCCCTGGTTTGGATTCATTAGGCACCCAATTAAAATTAGAAAATACCACTCATTTCACCACGCCTAACTTATGGCAATTGAAATAATTTTTTTTTCAGCACAAATGTGACAAGAAAACCAAATCTATATATATAATTCTCTTCTGGGAGACGTTAGAAAACAAGCTGCAAGCGCCTTGCAGTCCCCTCTCTTCCTCTCTATCACTACCACCCCCACCCCCCACATGGTCTGGTGAGCTGTGGTTCACGCTAAATGTTTACAAACCGTAGAGACGGGTTTAGTGACGGATATTAGGGGCAGATAATTTAGTTTGAAACGATTTTAAACTTAGGGGAGTAACTAAGAGGAGGCTGCTTTCACGAGGGGGTGGGGCAGGGGTTGGGGAAAAGGAGGGTTTTAGTGTTTTAAAGCAAATATTTTCAGTGGCAGCATTGGTAATGTCGAATTCACAAATTATGAATAACTGAAAAGTAGAAAAAACAACTAAATAGCGGCGTATGATACGCCGCTGGTCGGCTCGTGTACTTTATTTCCTTCCATCTGTTAAGTGATCACAAGCATATCTATATTTTAAACAACTCATGTCCCTGAATTATTTTAAGAGAAAAGACAAATAAAAATAAATTGTAATAGAAACAGAAAAATAACTGGCTATCAGATTTTAATTAACAAAGTTATATTTGATATTATTATTATTGAAATATTATTCAAACAGGTAAGCTTTTTTACTACATACTACATACATATTTTTTCATTATTCAAAAATAAAAATGGTTATTTGATAGTCAGTCGAGGAAGAGATTTCCAGTCGACTGTAAAGATAATAACTGACTGAGAATAGACTAGAAGTCTATTCAAGGGTATTAGTAAAATGCAAGAGGTCAAATAATATGGTGAAATGCTTTTTTTTTTAAAACTATAAAATTCCTAGACTCAGTGGAGTTCAGGAGTAGACTGTAGACCTTGATTTCTAAGACCTAGATCAAGTAGTAATTGCTCAATACTGTTTTTAGCTAGATCTAGTACTAGTGGTAGGGTAAAGAAGGGCGCAAGGCAAGTGTGGTATCAACCCCCCCCCCCCCCAACCCTCAGTAAAACTAATAATCTAATGATTTAACAACCACTGCTGTTGCTTGGTTATAATTATAGTATAGACAAGCTTTATCTTATTTATGACCCACTTGGCCCAGCAGGGAGAAGATGAAAAAATCAATCCCTCTGCTCTTTCCTCAAATTTTCTCACCTTCATAAAACCATTATGTAAACTTTGTTTTCAAATAGACAAAACTTATGAAACTACACTGTGTAATATATCACCTGACTTTACCAATGCCATTCTTTGTTCAAGTCTTCAAGCATTGGTTGCTGTACATTTTAACACCATGTTAATAACTATTGTTAGAATAGTTTTATTTTAATAATTTTGTGAAATAAAGTGGTTGTCGATGCTAAAACAAAATGGCCAACGTTTGTCCAGTTTTATCATGCTATATGTTGCGACGAGCTTTCATTCAACACAAAACATGATCCAAGGCAATGTTCAGTCTCAGTACATTATTTGTTTTTGTTTTCACACATTACATTACAAAGTGCCGTCCTATTCCCCCCCCCCTCCCCTAGTTTACGGGCGATGTTTCTCTCATTGACAAAACATTGCCAGCGAGCGAGTCATGTGTCACACATGGCCTATGTTGATGTTTGGAATGCATATTTCTCGCTCTTTGGTAATCAATGTTAATACACTGACATTTTTTTTTAAAAATCAAATAGATATAAATCTTAATTAATTAAATCTAATATTTATATTAGCCTAATCTTACAAGAACTTGGGCTAACAAAGTACTTGGTCCAGATTTAGCACATGCTCGTATTGTGCTGTGAGTTTTCTCTCGCAGGTTGACAAAAGAAAACAAGCGGGCTGACGATGTTAGTAATTGCATACATCTTCGCTCACGAGTGATCATTTCAAAGAATAAATGTTATTATTTACTAGGTTTGATACATTGTATTAGTACATTGCTTGCAAGCAAGCGGTCTGTGACTCTGTTTGGAATGTGTATCTAGCTCACATAATCCATAGGTGATCAATTTTACTGTGAATACAGTTTTAAAAGAAAAATCAAATATTAATTAGGCTAATCTATTGTTTTAGGTACGTAAAATCAACCGAGGCTAGTAATGTGCGAAACAGTTGCCTTATTGTTAAGGCTTTAATAGAAGTATGTTGTGATATATTTGTGTCAAATATTCTAGATAACTGAATAATAAACCAAAGTCAATGGTTAAATATATCAATATAAGCCCTAAATTAACTTTAAACAGCAGTTTGCGAGCAAGAAGATTTTCTATATAAACAGCTGCGTTCTATTTGTTTTCCCTGAATCTTGAAAACAAACCAGCCGTTGCATAACCACTTCGACCACCGGAACAGTTCCTTTAAAGGCCAAAAATTTGATTGTCATACACAAGATAAAAAATAAAATTTATGCACGCATGCGCAGGACAATAAATTTAAAAATAAATTTGATTGGTCGGCTAAAATAGCAAAGTATGAATAGCCTTTGCAAGTACCAATAGACACTCCCAAAATTTCATGAGTCACCTTTTTTTCACATTACTAGTCTCGGCCGATTTTACGTACCTAAACCGATGGATTACCATCAATTTTTTATGTGACTACGCGTCTCGCAGAGCGTGGACCATAACGAAGTGACTGCACGTATCGCAGGTTGAATTTGCCATCTTGTGATTGAAAATGCTTACTTTTTCCTTAGACTGTACTTCATAGACCTGGAGCTCCAGGGTTTGCACCAATACTAGTGTCTTTTTTAAATTTTATTGTTTTCATATTGAAAACTTGACGTGTAATTCTTTTTTTAAAAAAACAATTTCCAAACATCGCCACTAGCGTAATTGCTTGCCTCCGTTTACTATCCTGTGAATGAAAAATCCTACCAGGGTCGGCAGGGTCACTGTGAGTTCAGCAGGCCTAAAGCATACATCATAGATTGAATTTTGTCAAGTTCACGAGATTGTCTGTATGTTCACTTCTCTCTTCTCCCCCCTCTCCCCCCCACCCCTCAAGCAAATTGAAATTTTTTTAAGTTCACATAGGGTTAATACTATAGACTTAGATCTACTATCATGCATGCTTGATAGCTGTAAAAACAATTTACTAAAGGGCAGTTTGATTTAGCTAGTTTGATTTAGCTAGATCTATGACTATCATCTGACCCATTACTGACACTGTACTGTTTTTTACTTTCTCGTATATATGAATTATAGAGAAAATCTTGTAATCGTGCAATCCAGAGTTGAAAAAACATAGTTTTGCAATCTTGTCAGTATGTCTGTGTGTGTGTGTATGTGTGTCTGTAAACACGATAACTTGAGTACCGTTACAGCTAGGTTGATGAAATTTCATATATAAGTATTATATCAAAATCGTAGATCCGTATCAACTTTTGAGCGATTTCCGATAACTGAAAGCGGAACTTTTTCTACTTTGAATTTTTCAAAAGCCTATAACTTGAGTACTATTTCAGATAGATAAATGAAATTTCACATGCAAGTAAAAGATCTGATTCTCTACCTTCTGTCGAATTTTGAGTAATTTCCGTTTAACGGAAGTAGTAATTTTCCTTATTTCCGATTTCTCAAAAAACGCATGTGAATTTATAAAGTACTAATAATATTCCGCACTATTATGCACATTATATATGGCATTCAATTGGTGTGCAATTCTTTTTTTTTACAAGAGTCTATTTTAAAAAGTTTAAGGATTTAAATTGGATTAAAAATCATGTCTATATTCTGAGTTGCCATCCCTGTTGTTTCATATAAGAATATTCAAGAAAGTTTAGGGGAGATCACTCCCGGTTTGTTTTACAAGTACTAGACTAGATCTAGATTCTTAGGTGTTGAAATAATACACTTAATTAATAGATCGTCTCTTTACCAAAACCGGAAGTCAGAACCTTACCCTGAAACGTCACGCTCCGTTTTTTTTTTGTATTTTAAGTTTTTTCGGGGGTCCTCTATACCACAAATGAAACAACTGCTAATCTCGCAAAATCTCATTATTTTAATGGGAGATGCTAAGGAAATGGATACTATGCCTTAAAAGGCCAGAAAAATTTGCGAGATATGTAGTTCTAATTTAATACGAGTATTTCTTGTGGAGCACTCTCAGGAAAAACTGAACTGCAACAAAGAATGACCGACCACCGGGCAAAAGCACTCGACAGATCCTAGATTAATATATATTTGAGATATGTACCATGATTAATTGCATTAATGCTGTTTACTTTTTCCAAAATCCAATTCCCCCTTGAGTAACCATGTGACAATTTTTCTCTGCTATTTTTAGTAACGTTACATCATGCTACACTAGTTGTTAGATAGAAACAACAAATTTTTGTTTTTTGCTTAATGAACTATTAAGTCTAGTATTTTAATTATAATTCACTTTTAGCATGTACAGAAAATGTAAAATTGTGGACATTACTATTGTATTAAAGTATTATTAGTAATTTTATAAGTATATTGATTTTTTTTCTTCACAGCAAGTAGGCCGACTACACTGTTAGTTTCATTGTAAATACTAAATACTTCGTGGCCTACCAGTCTATATAATTTATATGAAATTATATGTAGTTTTTAATTAGGCCTAAGTATTGTATTTTAAACAATGCTCATTCCGAGTCTTTTTTGGTGCTAGATCTAATTAGGCCTACTGGCAATTTTTTATTTTTAGACTTGGTCAACCTCGTTAATGCTGTTGTGTTAGTTAAAAATATCCTAATTGTGTTTAAAATGTATGCAGTTACTCAGTAACTACGTAGAACGATAGCAATAAATGAAGTAGTATTTATTTCCTTTTAGTCGTCTTTTGATACAAAATGTCTAATATTTTATTACCAATAGATCGTGGTGTGGCAGAGTAAACAGAACAGTGTGGTAGGTGACCTAGAAGCTCAGAGTTTGAGTCCGAAGTAAATCAGTTGTGCTTTGTTTTATTTTTTCACATAGGAAACGCCAAGAGAGTTTTATTTTTCTTTCTTTTTTAAAAATATTTTCTTGATCCGAATAATATTTTAAAAAATAATTATTCAAGATTTTCCAAACATCGTCGCTCGGGAGATCGACTGCTTACATTTTCTTGTCTGCGGGAGAAAAATGTTAACACGGTCGAAGGTTCACCGTGAGTTCAGCATACGTCACAGCATTAACGATTGATGTTAGAGATCGTTGGGGGTAATTCCCACCCCTCCCCTCATAAACCAAGCGCAAATTGTAAAACAGGCATGCTAAGGGTCATTTTAATTAAGTTCACGCAAGCTTATAGGACTCTAGATTTACTATGCATAGCTGATTAAAAAAAAAACTAGGCCTACAGAAGAGGAAAATAATTAAGTAGCATTTATTTTAAAGTTTTTAAAAAAGTTGATTTATTATCTTACCTAATACTGTATTGTCTTTACAGTTACAAGGACTAGATCTAGATTTCTGTCTCTATTTTTAGTTTTGGGTATTAATTTTATTATCAACTTTATGGGTATCGATTTTTCAATTAATTATGTAAGGCCTTAAATTGTACGTAGAATTTATAATAAATATGTCTGATATTTATGATGAATATAAAGTTTTATTTCTAACAAGATGTTTTGGTTTTTTTGGTCAGTAAAATAGCCATTGTTGTCATAATTGCCATGACATCATGCTAAGGATAGAAAACACAAACTCACGTAACTTTTTGACCTTTTTTGATGTTGAAAAAGAGTTTTGCAATTTAAGAAGTTTTTAGGTTATTTTGTTTTTGTTCGTTTTCTCTGCCCCTAGCCCTAATTATTAATTAAGCTAGACCATTAAATTTGGTCTCAAATTAACCAGTAATAAAAAAATTTGATAAGAAAATCTGTTAATTAAACTAGATCTAGAATAGATCTATGTCAACATTAAATTGATAACACGAAAAAAAAAAATCGGCAGTGCTGATATCTAGGCCCTATTTTTTTTTAAATTGCGTGCCAACCAGGGTAAAGATTTATGTAATGCGGAGCGAACCGCGTAAATGCGGCATTTAGTGTAACGCCGAGGGAACTGCGCAAATGCGTCCTTAATTTAAATTTTTCTAAATTTTTGTTACCTTTCTTGTGATATTTTGTACATATGGGCACGAATTGCAAGCAAATCTCATACTCTCTGGACCTTCTTCAACTATAAGAACATTGGCGCAAACAGGACAAAATGTAAGCATGTTTGATGCTATCTAGATCTAATCTAGAATTTAGATCCAGATTCTAGTTTACTACACAATAGGCCCTACTTTACTTTGTAATTTCTTCGTATGTACGACACCTAAAATTCTAGATCTTGTCAAGATTGATATTTTCCGACTGCTAGGCTAGTACACAAGTAAATCAAAATTATATTTATTTTTTGAACAAAAAGAGTTCGTGTAGGCAATTTTTTTTTTTTTTTACGGGTCAGTAACTTGTAAACGTTCGTGATCTACACTCTTTCAAAAACCTATTCTTTTTTTAACCCGCGCCTAACGTAGCCTAGTATGTTGAAATAAAGCACAAAAACTGTATGTCACCATTGAATAGACGGGGGAAAAAAACTCCTTATATGCCTTAAAATCTATTTTTAGATCGCGTGCGAAAAGATCGCGGAGCGATGCGCAAATGCGGTCAAAAATCTAATACATCGTGATCATGAAATTTATAGTGATTGTTCGATCCAATATCTAGATCTAGATCTAGTTTTAAAATTAGACTTTAAAAAGCCCGTTCTTTATAGTCGTGATTTTTAAATATAGCCCATACAACTGTAGCTACCCATACCTGGGGACGGCTGTCAATTGTGCGCGTGCACACACACACACACACACATATGCTTGGATTATAAAAATTATATACATAATATACATATAATATACATATATATAGTACTATTATATATATGTATATATATATATATATATATATATATATATATATATATATATATATATATATATATATATATATATATATGCTTGGATTATATACATAATATACATATAATATACACATATATAGTACTATATATATATATATATATATATATATATATATATATATATATATATATATATATATATATATATATATATATATATATATATATATATATATATATATTACAACTGTTACTACTCTGGGTTTAAAAATTATTTAGTGAACTTATTTAAAATTCAACTAGGCCTACCCAACCCCCTCACCACTCCGGTTATGCAAAATAACGAAATAAAAACCAGCATGAATTATCTAACTTATAATGTAACCATTTTTCTTAGCGGTTGGCTTTATTTTATTTATGTTTTTGTTTTTAACGAGATTATAAGGAAAACAATCATTTATGATTTTTTTTTAAATCTAACTATCGGTCATGAACTAGCCACGGGCTCATGAAAAGCAGCACTTTAAGATGTGTAACTATTAAAAAATAAAAATACAATAGTTATTCAAATGTGTGCTTTAATGAAAGCAAGGGAGTATACTCAACGCTTGTTTTTCAACTGTGTAAAAATAAAAGCGATTTTCTCCCTTTATCAGAAACAAGCGGCACTCTAACTCTAATGCGGTTCCCAGATAGAAGCGCAACGGAAAAAAGCGCAACGGAAAAAAGCGCAAAACAAAAAGCGCAACGGAAATAAGCGCACACGGAAAAAAGCGCAAAGAGAAAAAAGCGCACACGGAAAAAAGCGCAAAGAGAAAAAAGCGCAAAGAGAAAAAAGCGCAAAAAGAAAAAAGCGCACACAGAAAAAAGCGCAAACAGAAAAAAGCGCACACGGAAAAAAGCGCAAAGAGAAAAAAGCGCACACGGAAAAAAGCGCAAAGAGAAAAAAGCGCAAAGAGAAAAAAGCGCAAAAAGAAAAAAGCGCACACAGAAAAAAGCGCAAACAGAAAAAAGCGCAAACGGAAAAAAGCGCAAACAGAAAAAAGCGCAAACGGAAAAAAGCGCAAACAGAAAAAAGCGCACACAGAGAAAAGCGCAAACGGAAAAAAGCGCAAACGGAAAAAAGCGCAAACAGAAAAAAGCGCACACGGAAAAAAGCGCAAAGAGAAAAAAGCGCACACGGAAAAAAGCGCAAAGAGAAAAAAGCGCAAAGAGAAAAAAGCGCAAAAAGAAAAAAGCGCACACAGAAAAAAGCGCAAACAGAAAAAAGCGCAAACGGAAAAAAGCGCAAACAGAAAAAAGCGCAAACGGAAAAAAGCGCAAACAGAAAAAAGCGCACACAGAGAAAAGCGCAAACGGAAAAAAGCGCAAACGGAAAAAAGCGCAAACAGAAAAAAGCGCAAACGGAAAAAAGCGCAAACAGAAAAAAGCGCAAAGAGAAAAAAGCGCAAAAAGAAAAAAGCGCACACAGAAAAAAGCGCAAACAGAAAAAAGCGCAAACGGAAAAAAGCGCAAACAGAAAAAAGCGCAAACAGAAAAAAGCGCAAACGGAAAAAAGCGCAAACAGAAAAAAGCGCAAACAGAAAAAAGCGCAAACGGAAAAAAGCGCAAACAGAAAAATGCGCACAAAGAAAAAACAACGAAAAATGTGCAAAAGAGAAATTTAGCACAAATACCTATTATTCTCGTATAAATAAACATAAAACTATCGTTGATATCGACATTACACGAATTATCTCTCACATTCTCCCTAGTCCGAACTACCTAGCTTGCATACCATAACTACCCGTTCCTATGGCAAAACTTCACTCTCTTTCATCCGCGTCATCTAACATGCATTCGTCATATCTCTCATATCTCTCGCAACAACATTCATTCGCACCAAAATAACAATTATGTATTTAATATTATTTCACATCTTGACGCACTTACCTACCTACCTACCTACTACCTACTACCTACCTACCTACCCACCTACACACTATACCACCTACCCTCCTACACACCTACCTACCTACCCACCTACCCACCTACCCACTTTTTTCCGTTTGCGCTTTTTTCCGTTTGCGCTTTTTTCTGTGTGCGCTTTTTTCTGTTTGCGCTTTTTTTCCGTTTGCGCTTTTTTCTGTTTGCGCTTTTTTCTGTGTGCGCTTTTTTCTTTTTGCGCTTTTTTCTCTTTGCGCTTTTTTCTCTTTGCGCTTTTTTCCGTGTGCGCTTTTTTCTCTTTGCGCTTTTTTCCGTGTGCGCTTTTTTCTGTTTGCGCTTTTTTCTGTGTGCGCTTTTTTCTTTTTGCGCTTTTTTCTCTTTGCGCTTTTTTCTCTTTGCGCTTTTTTCCGTGTGCGCTTTTTTCTCTTTGCGCTTTTTTCCGTGTGCGCTTTTTTCTATTTGCGCTTTTTTCTGTGTGCGCTTTTTTCTTTTTGCGCTTTTTTCTCTTTGCGCTTTTTTCTCTTTGCGCTTTTTTCCGTGTGCGCTTTTTTCTCTTTGCGCTTTTTTCCGTGTGCGCTTATTTCGTTGCGCTTTTTGTTTTGCGCTTTTTTCCGTTGCGCTTTTTTCCGTTGCGGTTCTTTCCGGCCACCCTCTAATGCAGCACGTTGATTGGGAAATTTATGCGAATGTTGTGTGGACAGGAGTATGGGGAGGGAGAGAGAGAGAGAAGTGGGTGCGCAGTTGTGTTGACAAATTAGCTCCTTTGATTCTAAATGCGTTCTTACCTTCAAAATCAAAGGAATTAATTTTTTTTTATAATTGGTTATGCGGGTTTCGAAAGCTTGGCAAAATAAAGATTTAGGAAAAAAATATTTCCTATTATAAAACTTCATGATTACAAAACGTTTGGGCTAATAACACGTTAGTAATACACGTGCAAGAGTACTACTTCACTTACGTATTAGGGGTCATCCATAAATGACGTCACGCTTTTTTGACGATTTTCATCTCTCCCCCCCCCCCCCCCCCGTCACACATCGTTATAAAAAGCCAGACCCCTCCCCCCTAAAATGACGTCACACCTCAGCCTACAACCCCTGCCAACACAGAGTATTTTAATCAATTCCTATTAAAACAGTTTTTCTAAAACGCGAAATAACGGCTAAAATTCGTTTTCTAACATTGCTTTTTTATAATGCAAAAGTGTGACGTCGCACCATCTGAACCCCTCCCCCTCATCACACAGCGTCACAAAATTACGGACCCCCCTACCCCCCCCCCCCCCCCCCTGTACAAGTGTGACGGCATTTATGGGCGACTCCTTATGAAAGTTTCTGGTTGCAAACTTTTGAGCTACAAAACAAACCATCCCACAACCAAACCTACCGGTGAAAATTTTAATATAATTATTTTACCATTATTTTTAACGTTTGCTTTTCTGAACGTTTCAATTTAAAACTTTTTTTTTGTGTTGATCTCGAAGATTCATTTACATTCATTCTGCCATAAAAATAAAGCAAGAGTGATCTCCCCTAAACTTTCTCGAATAAAACTACGGGGGGAAGGCAACTCGGGATATAGACATTATTTTTAATCACTTTTTAATTCCTTACAACTTTCTAAAATAGAATTAGAATCTCGTAGAAAAAGGATTGCGCATCAAGTGAAAAGCAAACAATGCGTGTATAATAGTGTGGAATATTAGTACTTTATAACAGTGGCGTAACGAGGTCGGGTGTCACCCGGACGGCACTTAATGGTGTCACACCCCCCCCCCCCAGAGGCGTTGCGACCCTTCCCGGGGACAAACTTTCATATTTTCGATTTGCACCCCCCTCCTCAAACTTTCGATTTGCACCCCCCCCCCCCCTCAAGTTTTTGATTTGCACCCTCCCCCCCCCCTCAAGTTTTTGATTTGCACACACCCCCCCCCCCCTCAAACTTTCGATTTGCACCCCCCCCCCCCTCAAGTTTTTCTCTCTATTTTTTGCTATTTTTTGCCTTGGTGTCACCCCCCTAAATGGTGTCACCCGATGCGTTCCGCACCCCCCACCCCCCTCGCTACGCCCCTGCTTTATAAATTGATATGTGTGTTTGTTTTTTGTTTTTTTTGTTGTTTTTTTTTTTTTTTTTGAGAAATTGGAAATAGCGTAAAGTATTACTTCTGGCACACGGCTTTATAGAATATTTGAAATACCAAAAGTTCCATTTCCGATTACCAGAAATCGCTCTAAATTTTATACAGAACAACAAATTTTATACTTATCTATGAAATCTCATCAACCTAGCTGTAATGTTACTCAAGTTTTCGTGTTCACAGGCAAACACACACACTCATACACACACATACACAGAGAGAGTGAGAGAGATATGGACGAAATTGCAAAACTAAGTTTTTCTTCCGCCTCAGGGAGGTGTAAAACGTCGTGACTTTGTGGTAATCTCGCTTTCGAATTTCCGTGGGTTATAAGGTTAAGTACTGGGTCAGCTTGCCATTGGAGGTCAAAT